ACGGAACAGTCAGGACCTCTGAAAATCTCCATTAAAGCAGTGGGAATGCTGGCAAAACTAGTCAGAGTCCATTTTTTCAGAATCTGAAAACTGGTCAAAGGCTTGTAGCAATCTGAGGAGAGTTTGTTCAAGAAAAAAAGGCTGAATCTCAGCAAGAGCAGTAAGATGGGTGACATTTTAACTTGCTCCCTCTGTTTCCCTCCCCAGCTGAGCAGCAGCCTGATAACCACAAGCCCAGGGGAAACCAGCAGCCCTGCAGCCGCTGGAGGTGAGGCCTGGGGTTGGCGTTCCTTCGCAGACTGTTCCCAGAGGACTGTCATCATTGGCTGTCCCTGGTGGTTCTTGGAAGAGCCTACTCACAAAGCTGTCTTTATTTGAACTGACTTGGTGCTTAACCACTGCTAAGAGCCTCTTCCTGGGGCACGAGTTAAAAGCCTCACAGCTGCCTAACGTGGTGGTATTAGCTGGTCCAACAGTAGGCTAACCAAAAAGCTTAAACAAAAAGCTGGGGAATGAAGTGTCTATAGGGAGCTTTGAAAAGCTTTGACATATTTCTGGGAATCTAGAAGGCTGCGTGCATGCCCGGGGCTATACAAATGCTCAGGAAAGACCTGAAAAAGCCCCAGATGCTCACCTCTGGTTGACCTTGAGGTTCTGCACAAGCAGGAAGTAAAGGCTAAGACAAAAGTGAAAGCTGCCCGCCAAATGCTGCAAGTGTGTCCAAAGACTCACGGAGTTCCTCAGCAAAGGCCGTGAGACTTACCGGTACCAAGTTTTAATGACATTTCTGCCCAATTATCAGCTGACCACTAAGCTAAATGAGCAGAGACTTCCATGGCCCACAGCCAAAGTATACAGACTCTATAGAAAAATCACTAAATAAAAAGCAACAAATCCTGGCCGTGAAGATAATCCAATTCCCAGAGTTACCGCATTATATTTTTTTAAATGTCTGATTTTCAACAAAAACTTATGAAACATGCAGAGAAACAAAAAGGTATGGCCCATACTCAGGGGAAGAAAATCAGTCACTAAAAATTGTCCCTGAGGAAGCTTATATGTGGGACTTGCTAGGCAAAGGCTTTAAATTGGCTGTTTTAAACAGGTTTAAAGAACTAAAGAAAAATCATGTCTAAAGAACTAAAGGAAAGATGACTTATCAAATAAATAGAAATTAATTTTTAAAAAGAACCAGCCATAGCTGGGGTGGCTCAGTTGGTTGGAGCATTGCCCCATGCACCAAAGGCTCACAGGTTTGATTCCCTGTCAGGGCACGTACCTAGGCTGTGGGTTTGATCCCCGATTCAGGAGCATATGGGAGGCAACCGACTGATGTTTCTCTCTCCCTCCCTCTCTCCCTCTCTCTCCCCCTTCCTCCCTCTCTAAAATCAATTTAAAAATAAATAAACAATAAAAAGCACCAAATAGAAATTCTGGAGTTGAAAAGTATAATAACTGAAATGAAAAACTCACTAGAGGAGTCATTAAAATCTCTGAAGAAAGGAAATTCTTCGTTGAGGATGTTATTTTATTAATTTCTCAATGCACAGTAACCAGAAGAGCAAACAAGGTGGCTGTGTTTCCTAATGACATCGATCCCTCTGAGCAGTTCCAAGCAGTTCGCTTTAGATTCATGGAGGGCCTATTATGTGGCAGGCACTGTTTGATGCTACAAAATAGAGGAACAGAGGTTTGGCTGAATCTGTCTTCATGAAAAGCTGCCCTCAGTGGACTTGTAACTTCTAGCAACTTCTCTCTCCCTGTCATTTTAATTTCCTGATGACGCAGGTCTCTCTTGACAGTCTCTCTCACTAACCATCTTCACACCTAATCTAATCTATTTATTCATTCAGCAAACATGTGCTGTGCCATCCATTGGAGATACAGTGGTGAACAAAGCAGGTGCAGCTCCTGCCCTCCTGGCCTCAGGGGACTGACGTGTGGTATAGATAATGCCACGTCGCGGGTGAGTGTCTAAGGAAGAAAAATGAAACCAGGCTGGAAGGCGGGGTGCTTTTAGATAATGTAGCCAGGAAAGAATTCTCTAAGAAGGTGACACATGAGCAGAAACCTAAATAAAATGCAAAGGTCGGAGGAAGGAGAGTCCCAGGAAGAGGGGACAAAGAACTACAAAAGCTTGGGTGGGAGTGAGCTGGGCCTGCGGGGATTCATCAGGAGGCCAGTGTGAGTGCAGACTCTTCTTTCAACATGTATCTTGGATTCGACCTGCTCTTCTGTGCTTTCCACCACAACTCATATCTTACCTATAGCACTCACATTTACCTTATTTCAGAAATAATCTTTGTTCTTCTTGCCCCAAGTCTGTGTCCCACACAATTCATCCTAAACCCCACCCCTGGGATAACTTGTCCAGAACCATTTCATCACGTCACCTCACAATCAAGATGTTCCAGTGGCTCCTTACTGCAGCTGAGCCCTTGGTGTCCTCCACAAGCATTTACTGGACTCCTGTTATGTCTCAGACACTTTTCTCAGAGCTGTGTATACACAAATGCATAGCAAAGACCAGGTTCCTGCTCTCACAGAACTTATGTTCTTGAGGAATCAGACAGGCACTAAACAAGTAAACAGCAATTGTCAACATAAGTTCATATAATGGTAAATGCCAAGGAGAAAACAAATAGAGAAAATGGTGACAGTGGTGGGAAGGCAACCTAAGGTGGTCTAGAAAATCTGGGACCAGGGTCTGTTCCAGGAATGGGACTAGCAGATGCCAAGGCCCTAACATGGGGCTCTTCAAAGGCTGGCTCCACAGCATCCCTTCGGGAAGTCTCCCCAGCACACCAGGGAAATAGGCCACCTTTCCTCTGAGTGACTAAAGCAGGCTCCGTACTTTTATTTGAGTGCTTGCCAAATGGTCAAGTTTGTCTTCCTCCAACAGATTATGAGTCTGCTGAGTACAAGAACCCAATCTAATTCATATTAGGCTACCTGGAGTACCGTAAATCAGGGGTAACCATCTGAGGAACTGAACTGAGTGAAGCCTAGTGTCCTAATCTGGAAGGTAGAGTCACCCACAGTTAAGCTCTAATCCAACCTTGACTCGCATTCCTGGTTTTGTTAAGTCAGGGTCATTGCTGCTCCTGTCTTCTTTGGGTAAAATTTGGCAAAGTTTACAAACTTTAATAAATCAATATCACATGACTATAAAATTCTGGAACACAAATTATTGTTTGCCTAGTTAGAATAGCTTTCAATAATTAACATGTTTTAACTTCTAGATTAAAATTGTCAATAGTTCAAAGTTTTGAAATCGATATTGAGATTACAGTGACTTGTGAAAAACTCTTTATCTTGATTTAGTAGTTTTATTTTAAAATGTTTGTTGAAAGATTGTCACTGATCTAGTCATTCAATTAATATTATTAATAATTAATATTTTAAGGACTTGTATGTACAGTACCTATTCCTGAGTATACAAGAGTAAATAAAATATACACATTCTTTTACCCTTATGAAGTTTACAGTCTTGTCAGGATACAGGTAAGAAACAAGAAAACAAACAAATGTATAATTACTGATTACCATACTTAGGACTGGAGAAACAAACAGCATACAGGATACAAAATAACAGAGAGAATTTTGCCTAATGTGGTCAGGGGACACATTCAAACCTTGACTCTGCTGTGCAAAAAAGGAACGGATCTCACAGCCTTTAATAAATCTAAATGATTTGCTTAATTCTGAAAGGTGGTTTCCAATGCCCTGCGGCCATTTTATTTTTCTATGTTTTTATGAAAAAGTCTTTTAGCTTTGTTCTCCAATTAATCAGAGTTCACTGTGTTTATAGTATATCATGTCATTGTAAAGTAAACATACTTACCAAGGAGGTGACACTCTGTTCTTTATCTCCCTGGAGCATATTCTTTTTTTGGTCAATCCTCACCTAAGGATATTTTTTCCATTACTTTTTCAGAGAGAGTGGAAGGGAAGGAGGGAGAAAAGGGGAGAGAGAGAGAGAAACATTGATGAGAGAGCCACACTGACTGGTTGCCTCCTGCACGTGCCATAATCAGCGGCAAAGAGCGAACCTACAACCCAGGTACTTGCCCTTGACCAGGAATCGAACCTGAGACTCTTCGATGCTCCAGCCAATGCTCTAACCACTGAGCAACACCAGCCAGGGCTGGAGCATATTCTTTATCGTTCCTTTAACTGGCTGAGTGACAGCATTTGCAGTTGTGTTTCCTGATGACATTGATCCTTTTGAGCAGTTCCAGGCATGCGGGTGGCTGCAGGCTCACAGTGGTCCAGTCCCACAGTCACACATCAGAAGCCCTTCAGGTCATGCAGTTCACCTGGTTAGAAGAACATGATGTCCATGGAATGTCTGGGGGATGTTCAGGGTGGAGCCTGGTGACCATGTCAGCCCCCCAGCCACAGGCCTCATTCTACCCCTGACCCACAGGCTTGTGCTGTAGGTCCTGTGGGAGACCACGGCAACATGTAGATTAATCAGGGCAGGTTCTTCACAACCTCACAGAGGTGATAAAGGAGGGTGCTACGAGTTCAATGCAATGGTTCATTCTGAAGCAGCCACCCCAGTCCTCTCAGAAGAAAGACAGAGAAAACACAGGAGCGTAAGGATCACAAAGCAGTCACTAGTGGCTGTGTCTGTGCACACCCAACCCAGACAGGGAAATTACTGTGAATTCCAGTGACCTAAAAACAAATATGGGGCATCCCTCCCTGCGTTCCTGAGGGAATGTGTAAATACTAATAAAGAGCAGGACAATCAGATAGTCCCGGGTCAGGAGTTCTTTATAGAGACTGCTGATTTAGTTGTAAGCAATTTGAGGTGCTAGGAGCCACTAGCAAAGAAACACATCTAGGACTGGTGGACAACTATTAATTTGTGATTTATCAAATAAAAACAGTGTGCCTCATGTGAGCCTAGCAGGTGAGAAATGATAAGAAAAGTAATAAGGGAGTCAGGCAGAGAGACCCCAAGTGGGACTGAGTGTCTTGGATGAGTGGCCATTGCATTTCTGTTCAGACAAGTTATTTACCACTGGGAAAAACACCCACTCAGTTCTAAGAGTAAACTCAAAGTAGGCCTTAGACATAAATCTTTCATTGTTATGAGAGCCTGTAATTTCCATAAGCATTTCTCACCATGGTTGGATTTTTTCCCTTTATTTATTCACCAAAATTTGTTGAGCACCTACTATGGGCCAGCTACTATTGCTGGTGGAAGGAAATACAAGGTCACGCATTTACAAAGCACATATTGTGTGACTAACAGGGTACTGGGTCCAAAGGAAATAGAGAAAGTCCCTCATAGACCTCACATTCCATTGGTTGGGGAAGGAGGGTCTGGGAAAGAGAGAAAATAAACTAATAAACAAGCAAGTGCTATGAAAAACAATGAAGTAGGTAACAGGGGGTGAGGGTGCGGGGTGATGAGAAGGGAATCTTAAGAAAAACCATCTTTACCCGCTACTATATACAGTGACCAAGGAAGGCCCCTCTGATAAGTGACACTAGTGCAGAAAATGCAGGGAAGGTGTGGGAGAGAGGGTTGCAGGCAGAAGGGGGAAAGCAAGTGCAAAGTCCCTGGGGCAGGCGTGTGCTTGGCACAGTCAAGGAATAGCAACAAGATCATGTGGCTGCACAAATGAGGGAGAGAATAGTAGGAAATGAGACCAGACATGAAGGCAGAGGCCAGATCATGTGGGGTCTTGTAGGCTACAAAAGGACCATGATGGGAGCTGTGGAAAGGCTCCTAGCAGAGAAGTGATGGTATCTAACTTAGACTTTGAAGGGATCACTCTGGCTGTGTGTGCAGAGTGGAAGCAGGAATACCCCAGGGCAGAGACGAGGGGGGTAGACCATTAGTACGTTATTAACATGAGCCTCATTGTCCATACCAGGAAGCCCAGGCCAAGCTGACTTAATAAGGAGTTCCTTGAGTCAGATTTCAAACCATAGAATTTCAGTTAATCAGAAAGGTTGTGGGATGAAGCAGTCTTATGCTTGCACTGTTCAATGGAGTAGCCATGAGCCACATGTGTCTCTTGAGAACTTGGAATGCAGCAAGTTGGAACTGAGATGTTCTATAAGCATAAATTACACTGAGTTTCAAAGACACGGTACTAAAAAAGAAGAAAAAAACACACAACAAAAACCAGAATGTGAAATATCTCATGAATAATTTTATACTGATTATATACTGAAATGATAATGCATTGATGCATTGCTCTGTTCTTTTTGTCTCCTTAGATCTTTTCTTACATATAGAGAGCTGTGTGCATTTTATTAGATATTGTGTTGTTTTCTAGCAAAAGCCTAACTTCAATAAAATGACCAGGGCTTGCATTTCTTTCTTTATATATTACAGGACCCAGTACCCTGTTAGTGACACAATATGTGCTTTGTAAATGCTTGACCTTGTATTGAAAAGAAGGTCTTGAATGCCAAGCTGTTGGCTAGCTGCTTGCAGAATTATCGAGATCCAGTTCGCCTTAACACGGTCATTCATGGAGAAACCAATAGACCAGTTGCTATAAAAAGAACATGGCCTCTCCTCTCAAAGGAATTCATTTGGCAAAGTAATGCTAAAGGAAAGTAATCTCACTTTTAAGATAGGATCACATTTTCCAAATGAAGTCAAAAGCTTTGGTCACAGGCTACCTCTGGACCCCGGCCTGCCCATCACATTCCTTGTGGCGCAGTTCAGTCCTGTCTGTGATGGATGGAAACAAGATTTGTCTGAGGCTCGTGGAATCCAGACATTGGGACAAAGGTCTACCTTCACAACAGGGAGGAGGCGAGTCCTCATCAGGACTGGACAAACATACACTTGAAATTAATGTCACCTGTTTCTTTTCACTTTTTTCCCTCACATTTCATATTTTACCAGAACATGAAAAAAGTGGAGAGTAAAATTTGCTTACTTTTTACTTTTTTAAATGTGGCTACTAGAAAATTTAAAATCACATATGCAGCTCACACTTGTGGTTCACACTATATTTCTATTAAACAGCACTGGTATTATATAAATTGAATTACACAAAGAAATCCTTTGTCATTTCAAGACTTAATGAAAATTTTTCTAAAATGTATTGTCTATCCTCTGATTTGAGTAAACAAAGTTATGCAAAGCATAGCTAATGTAATTGAATTCGACTAATATGTGTCCGTGATTCTGCATCACTAAAGCTTCGTTCTAAACATTTCTCGGTAGCCCCGTGGTCGTGAAGATTGTAAGTGTGGCTCTTCCATGCTGGTTCTGTCCTTGGAGCGGCCCCTGGCCTGGGATCCTCAGCTTCACAGGTTCAGAACATGAACTTGATCGATCAATTTCCTGGCTGAGACCTTAGGGACACATCCCTCACGAGTTGGTGTGAGAGCAGTGAATTTCCAGAAGAACAGGCTTTTCTGGGTCATTCTGTCTGGCCTCTTGCTGATTCATATTTTCGCCTCCCAAAGGTGTACATGTCTTGGGTTGGGCCCCAAACCCAGGCAGGGCAATGAAAGCTGCAGGGTGGATCCAATGCACAGGGGCGCGGAGGTTCTAAAGGTGATGGATTTATGCAAGCAAGGCTGTCATGTGGAAATGCAGGGAGTTCCCACTGAGACCCTCCCTAAAGTGAATTTACCTCAGGCAGCACGTCTCCCAATCCTAAGGTAACTTTCCAACATCTTATTTCTCAGAAATGATCAAACTCTTTGGGAGCACAGTGAATTGTTCAAGTTCACGAGAGGTGGCTGTACACATTTAACAACTTACCAATTTATAGGAGGAGACAAATGGTTATGGCTCGTATGTTTGGGTCATGGAGTCCCTTTGCTCTGCTCTCTGTGGGAGAGGCTGCTCAGGAGAACAATCCTTCAGAAGCTGCAGGCTGCTCGACAGGCAAAGGCAGTGAATAAGGGGTTGGAGATGGAGAGAAATACCCTGGCTTCTCCCTTCCTCTTGCCCTCCAGTCTTGTACCAGTTCCTCCCAATAACTGAATTTAGAGGCTGAAGGGCCAGGGAGCCTGGGAAATGTATTTCCCTACCATATAGGGCTGGACAAAGAAGGATCAGTCTTGAATCTAAGGGCAAATTCGCACTATGCAGAAGTCAACAATGCGGTGGTGATTAGGCTGCCCAGGTGGTGATGGGTGGGATGGGATGGGGAAAGGAGAGATGGAAAGTATTGCTGCAGGCCCCTGATTAAAGAGGGGTAAGTAGCATGCAAAGACTTTCTTCTGCTCATCTCTCAAAAAAGTGATTATCAAACATATTAAAGCACTGGAAGGTGAGGAAAGTGAGGAAGAAGCCATAAAAATGAGCTAAAATCCAGGAAGCATAAACTCCAAGGACGTATTAAAGAATAATGCATGCTTGGCTTGCAAAATAGAAGACTTAGAAGCAGCACAGAGCTAACTTCTTGTAGATACAAGTCATTGTAATAAAGCTGGTCTAGAAGGAAGCAGACTGAAAGCAGCAGCTGATGGAGAAGGAGCCGCCGAAGCAGGAGAGAGTGAGCCCCAGCTCTGGTGGAGGGAGGAAGGCTGTACATCTGGATCTCATGCGTCTAAGTCCAGGTTTGCGGAAGGCACTGCCCAGGCTGCAGCTATGCAAGGCCCTCCTGTCCCTGGAGTGAGTAGCCATCGTGTATTCATTCATTTCACAGAAATTCATTGAACCCCCACAATGAACCAAGCACTATTCTAAACACTACAGATAAAAAACAGACAAATAATAGGAACACACAGCCCTTTGTGTGAGCCAAAGCAAACAGTCCATCCCATCTGGAGGAGAGGGAGAAAAGGAGTGTCCTGGCAAGGGTATTGGTACAGCGAATTCTCAACCTTCTTCAAGCTATGGTAGACACATCGATGGCAGTTAAACATGCAATAGGAACATAACTGCTTCGTTAATAGAGATATTACTATAAAGAACATAGATATTTCCCCCTAGTTCAACTCAACAAATATTTATTGTTTGCTCATTCAATGCCTCGAACTGGAGCTACAGCAATAAACATTTTCCTTAAAAAGCGTTGCCCCTGCCCTCAGCATAGTAGAAATGGCCAATTCATGCAATATCTAATCTGGAAGTTGCTGCCAGAGACCTGCATCCTCCAGAGTTTGTGCAGAGGGTGGAGAATAGTTTCCTCTCCAGGGCAGAGTAGTGGTGATGCTGGTCAGGGCCAAGGAAGACAACCTGAGCCAGCTTTGCAGCCCTCCAGTGACAGGGCTCAGGGCTAACTTGCAACAGAGAAACACCTTTTTGATTTTGCCTCATATAAAGAGGTTTAGTGTTCTCTTTGGCAGCACACATACTAGACCAATAGGAAGATTAGCG